TATGTAGCCAATACTCAATAATTATGTTAATTGCATATATATCAATTTTTTTGTTGTCAACAATTGCATATATACCAATTAGACTATCTTTAATGGTAAGCTTTTGATAGGTATCATATATTAAACAAATATTAAATATAGATAAAGGAGGAGAGAAAGAGATGAGACGATCTCTATAGTCTCAGTAGAATGAAACGTTTCACAAGTTTTTTAGAAATTTTTTCCAATTGCCTTTACATAATTGGTTGGGAGTTTAATTAATAATTTAAAATTTAAAGAAAAATTTTATTTATTTTAAAACTATTAAGTAAGAGACTAAATGTTGTTTCACGGATGAGGATGCTCTTAGTTTTGTTTTTTTACGTAATGGACGAATATTTCTGTTTATTACAAATATTCTCTCTAGTCTGATTAATTTCCTTTTGTACCCCCATAATTTTATACTTATATTACATGCCTACATCACATGTATCCATACTTTTTCTTTGTAATATATTATTTTGTCCTCGTAAATTTATTTATTACATTATTTACCCGATAACTACGTTAATTACGTTTGTACCCGATAGTCTAACAAATGTTTTTTAAATGTCCAATTAAATAAAAATGTATCATCGGCCCAAAACTCTGGGCTTTTCTTGTTCAAGGGGTTGGGATTTTGACGATTACCTTCTCTTTCTCTCTTGCTCTCTCAAAAATTTGAAGTTAAATCCGTTTCGTCACCGGAAGTTTTAACCTACTCTTTCTCTCTCGGGGAGAATTTGATTCCCGGCGATTTGCGATGGCAAGTTTTCCGATGTCGCAGATCTGCTTTATCAACTTTTTGTTGTTTTTTTCTCGTTTTGAATTTGGTTTTCGTGTTAATTGCAGGAAGGAATAGGGCAACTCGAAGCGTCGATTGATCGGCTTTTGAACGAAGAGAAGCAGATGAGGCTAGCGGAAAATGTCGCCGGAACGAGGAAAGCCGCTACAGAGATTCTGAAGCTTTGTTTCGAAGCTAAAGACTGGAAACTTCTCAACGAACAGATTTTGAATCTCTCTAAGAAACGTGGTCAGCTTAAGCAGGTTAACTACTACTTCCGATCTCTGTTCTCAGATTTTGCTAGAAATTCTCTGCTTCGGTAGTTTTAAGGCTTTCGATTTACTTGGAACACTAATTCTAGGTTTCTAGGGATTTAAGTGGAAGACAATAATGTTAAAGTTGAAAGGTCTCTTGATTTGCAGGCTGTACAATCCATGGTGCAACAAGCAATGCAGTATATTGATCAGACACCAGACTTAGAAACTCGGATTGAGCTTATTAAGACCCTAAACAATGTGGCTGCTGGAAAGGTGAGGATCAAAGACTATGGTGGTGTTATATTTGCTCTTAAAATAACCTTTTCATTCCGAGGAAGCATTCTCAATGAATCTGTGCATTTGTAGATATATGTTGAAATCGAGAGAGCTCGTTTGACCAAGAAGCTTGCTAAGATTAAGGAAGAACAGGGCCTGATTGCTGAAGCTGCAGATCTTATGCAAGAAGTTGCTGTAAGCTTTTCTGCCTTCAGCTTCGAATTTTCCTCGAAATCGACTTTTTTGGTTAATCTCTGAAATTTGATTATGAACTATAGGTGGAGACATTTGGTGCTATGGCAAAAACTGAGAAAATAGCTTTCATCCTCGAACAAGTAAGATTTAAAGTTATCTTTTCATAATCCTTAGCTTTGTTTTTGTTTGTATTCAGTGGTGCTTATTATTGGTTATCTAAACTTCTGAAGGTCCGCTTGTGCTTGGATCGACAAGATTTTGTCCGTGCACAAATCTTGTCTAGGAAGATCAACCCAAGAGTATTTGATGCAGATACCACGAAAGGGAAAAAGAAACCTAAGGAAGGTGATAACATGGTAGAGGAGGCTCCAGCTGATATACCAACATTGTTGGAGCTAAAGCGAATTTACTATGAACTGATGATTCGGTAACCCTTTGCTCTTGTCTAATGCATTCTTTTCAGTTATTCTTTGCATATATGTATCTCTTCTTCTGAATTTCCATATACCTTTATTTCTGTGGTTGTGTGATATTTAATGACAACACATATAATTCTACGGTGTAGGTATTATTCTCACAACAATGAATACATTGAGATATGCCGTAGCTACAAGGCGATATATGATATCCCTTCAGTAAAGGAAAACCCAGAACAATGGATTCCAGTAAGTCTCATATCGTTGTTTTGATACTCGGTAGTCTACATTCTGTAATAAGCTTGGATTAACTTTTCGCCTGATCCTCTCAACATAGATTCTGAGGAAGATCTGCTGGTTCTTGGTCTTGGCACCACATGATCCGATGCAATCAAGCCTGCTTAATGCAACTTTGGAAGATAAAAACTTATCAGAAATTCCTGACTTCAAGTAATTCTCTTTGTCATGATATAAATTTGTGTGTTTCACTACTCTTTCTCACTTCCCCATCGAAGATAAATTTTCGATCCTTTCTGTTGCAGGATGCTTCTAAAACAGGTTGTGACAATGGAGGTGATTCAGTGGACATCTCTCTGGAATAAATACAAGGATGAGTTTGAGAAAGAGAAAAGCATGATTGGAGGCTCTCTGGGTGACAAAGCTGGTGAAGATCTCAAAATGAGAATAATTGAACACGTAAAAGACTCTTTGCTCTTCTACTAAACTTTATATCTTTGTTTGCTTCATTCAAAAATTTACAACTTCTAACATCTTTATGCAGAATATTATCGTTGTCTCGAAGTATTACTCAAGGATTACCTTAAAGAGACTAGCAGAACTTTTATGCCTCAGCGTTGAGGTAATTATAAGTTTAAACAGCAATCTCATTGTAACCAGTATGTATATGTTTGGATCTCTTCCTAATTGGTTCATCTTATTTCAGGAAGCAGAGAAGCATCTATCTGAAATGGTTGTGTCCAAAGCCTTGATAGCGAAAATCGATAGACCATCAGGAGTAATCTGCTTCCAGATCGTTAAAGACAGCAACGAAATCCTCAACTCGTGGGCGACAAACTTGGAGAAGCTTTTAGATCTTGTTGAAAAGAGTTGTCACCAAATTCACAAAGAAAGTATGGTTCATAAAGCTGCACTAAGAGCCTGAGAATCCGGTTTAGCCAGACATAAGAGCTTGTGAGAACCGGTTTATCTCCACAAACACCACAGGTGAGAGAAATAATCTTATTGCAGGTTACTGTCATTATTACCCTAAGACCATCTTCAATTTCATTTTTGTTTCTCTGTTTGGTTCGAACACCTTTCGAGATTATATGCTTTTTTTAGTTTTCTTTTCTCTCTGTTTGTCTTTATAATGTGTTCTACAACGAAAAAATATTATTATACAAAAATATGACAAATATTGAAGAAGAAAAAACATGCGAGGAAAGCAATAAATAATTGAATCATTTTTTTTATTTTCTATAACTATATAGTAAAGGAAGAAGAACAATGAAGCAATTCCATCAGGAAGATGGACTATTATCATTGTAGTTATTACTCGTCTTGTCTGATGGCCATTTTAGATCCTGGAGATAACCGGTTTCGTTAGCTGATTCCGGCTGCGGTTGAACTGCGGCCGGAGAAAACAGAGGACGAGAATGAGGCGGCGATGATGATGTGGATTGCATCGTTGAACCACCGGTGTGACCGAAACGTAATGGAAACGACATCTGATCATATAAATCCATAGATTGTTGCTGAAACTGTTGTTGATGGCTAGCCATCTCTGAGTAATTCAAGTTGTACGATTGCATCAACGGCTGAGAACGAACGATTTGGTCCGAAGCAGGTCTTATGGGTAAAAGGGTAGCTGTAGAACCCGAGTTTCTTAGCTGTGTCGGTCTCTGAACAGCGGTTTGCGAGACAGATTGTGTGGTTGAAGCGGGTCTAACGAGTTTAACGTTTTCAGGGAAGTTGAGTTTAGCTTTGTTGCCTCTAAACCGAAGTGCAGCTTCGTCGTAAGCTCTAGCAGCTGATTCAGCATTGTCGAACGTACCGAGCCAAACTCTAGCCGCTTTAAACGGATCACGGATCTCAGCCGCCCATTTTCCCCATGGTCTCTGTCTCACTCCTCTGTATCTTCTTCGAGGTTGGTCCCCACTAAACGACGACGTTTCGGTATTAGCGTTTGTTGCTGTTGTTGTGTATTCATATGTTGGGCCTGAACCTGACATGTTACTCGAAGCTTCTCTCCCTGCAAACAAACAACAAAACATATAATGTCATTTTTGTTTCGACTCGTTAAGTAACGGTTTTTTAACAATATAAAGAGAATTTAAAAAAAAAAAAAATCAAGAGTGATTATGAGAAAGTGATGAGGCCAAATGGGTGACAAAGAGGAATGAGCAAGTAGAAGAAAAAGAAAGTGGAAAACGACTCTTGAGGCAAATGGAGGGAGATAGATTCTCTTGG